TGATTTTAAAATAGAATAAAGGGAGTAGTATTTTATATTTTAGAAAATCTATTAATGAATTAAATAATTTATGTGATAATTTCCTTTTCATTAAAAGATTTTAAATTTAAATATATTTTATATAAATAAGATGATTTAAAAAATAAAAAAAGATTTAATTTCTATTGTATAACACAAAATTAATTTTAAGAACTCAAAAAAGCCAACCCAGACTTAAAAAATCTCCACCGTTACTAGATAAATTAAAAAAAGGTGTTATACAACCAAAACACAGCCAACTATGAAATACTAAACATTTTTGTTTTATTTTGGATTGAATTGTACAACAAAAACATAATTTTCTTTATCTCTTAATCTAATTTACTTTGTATATTATGTTTTTTTTTAACATATCTAAATAGATTATATTAAAAATAATAACTTTCCTTTTTTTTTATATATAAATTTTTCTCATCTAACTTAAAATTTTCAATTTAAAATTTTACTTTAACAATACATTGTATGGTATGTTACTTAAAATTCAGGATGTCTTCCCAACCATGGAATGGAGAACCATCAAACAAGGATGTACCGATGTACGGTTCAACGCAAGTGCATCCCCAAAACGATATACTGAATAAAAATTACCGTTCATCTCCGATAAGCAGCGAAAAGCAACAAGGCCACACCAACAGGGGAATTCGGTGTCCAAAACACAAAAATGTATTCAATTTCAGTATCACCAGAACTCACTACGACTGGCAGCTTCTGCAAACCATCCATCTCACTTCACAGATTTTCTTTTCCATTTTTGAGATACCCATTTGCTGAAAGCCCCAACAGGTCTCCTGCAACTGCAATTCATGCTCGGAAGAGAGACCCAAGGTCTCAGCCAGTTCTCAAACCATCCATAGTTGAAGAAGTGTCAATGGACGATGAACAAGACGACGAAGAAGAGCAGCTTCCGTTTGATGACTTGGAAGACGGTATTTTGCAAATAACCCTTTTGTCCCCTTTCTATTGATATTTGCTTCTCTTTTGATTTTTTTTTTTTTTTTCTCTTGGAACATATATACTGGTTTTTGTGGGTAGGAAGACATGAGAATTGAAAGAGAAAATGGAAAATGGATTTCCTGATTACTTTTGATTATTAATGAGTAAAGTTTTCTCATATGTATAGATGCATCAATTGAGGAGGATGATTATGTTGAAGATGAGTATGTGGAAGCTGAAACTGAACTCTATGTAAGCCTTTTTTTTTTTTTTTTGGATGAAACTATTATCTCCTATTCATTTTCATGTGTTAAAAAAAAAAGTTGGCACAATCTGCTAAAAATCATGTGGCATGATTCTGAAAGGTTGGGGATGGAGCAGGAGGAGGGGGGATTTCTCTAGCGGGGACGTGGTGGGATAAAGAAGCATTGTCATTAGCTGAAAATGTACGTATGTCCTTCAATGGTGAATTGGGGTTATATGCTTTCAGGACATTGGCAAATTCCACCATTCAAGTTCGTATTGAGAGATTGACAAACAGGTAAGCATTTCTTTTTATGGGAAATTACTATAGAATTTCTATGTTCGATAACTAACATAGATTATTTTCTCAAAAGAGACCCTTTATAATGCTATATGCCTACACATTGGTTAGTATAGCTTTTTATGATATGAATCAGTTGGAATATTGATGTTGATTTGAGACTGGTGTATTGAGTGAGATATTCTCAAATTTTTGCATAATTAATTGATGGGATCTTGGTGACTGTTTAAGTTGCAATTTACCAATTGATTAATTTCTTAAACTTGAGTTTGAAAGACAAGAGTTTTCCAAATTAGCTTTAAACTAACTGAAGTGCCATAATGGCAAACTTTCTGTCAGAGTAACTACGTATTTTCCCCTTCTAAGGTGCTTTTGAATAGGTTATATCATTTTCTTTCTATGTGAAACATTGTTTATCTTTATCATCTCTTCGCCAGTTGCTCTTCTTCTTTCCCTGTTTCCATTACTGCATGCATAATATGACAATAAATTCAATGGCAATCTTCAATATTCCCTAGTCAAATAAAACTTTGGTAAACTCTGATGGGCTTGTATCTATTTAAATGATGTCAATATTTGTGGTTCTACCAAAAGCTTTTTATGGAACAGGGGTTTTATTTAGTTAAGTGAAAGATGAATAAAAACTAAAATGTTATGGACAAGTATAACCTAGACCATCTATGTTGGCTTTTTTGCTAGGTTTTCCTATTTTGTTATCAAAATGTGAGAATAATCTTTCCTGTTCATTTTTATTTTATTGTTTTATATACAAGTTTGGATCTGCCACTTAAATTTAAGAAGGTTGTAGTTAATGAGGAGATCTGTTACTAGATTTTTTTTCTCAGAAGATAACCAATGGCTTCCTTAAAGTTAAAAGCTAGATAAGCTACTGTGTCTGGGTATTATCAAGTATAGATATAAAGTTAACAAGGGCATGTATTAACAGTTCATTATTTAATCAGTACATGTGTGACAGATTGTTTGGACTTTGGTGTTTCTTTATGTGGGAAATGACTAGAAATTTTTTTTTTTTTTTTCTTTTTGGGTATTATATCAGGTTATAGCTCCCTTTTCCCAAATCCCTTCCTACCTGTCTCAAGGTAGCTTAAGTTCTTATAAGTTGAGACACTCCTTGGGGGCAGGGAAATGAATAAATTTGACCATAAGAAAGGACAGATTCTTTTACCCTTTTTGTTTGTTGGAGGAAACTATTATAAAACTTTGAAAGGAGAAGAAAAGAGATGAATTATTCTGGATACTTTCTGAATTGCTAAACCATCATTGTTTGGCTGAATTTTAATATAACTTGCAAGACAATTGAAGATGCATCTAGGTAAGTTACCAATGTCAGATAACTTCTCAAAACGTCTGCTTTTCCTTGGATTCCTCCTAGCCATGCAAAGAGCAGCATTAGCCATTGAAACCAAAAATTTATAATGGTTGTGTTCGGTGAGAACTGAGAAGGATGGTTAGTGGTTTCTGGACCATAAGTCATCTATTCGCCCAAAACCAGTCATGATTAGTTCACCTTTTTCATGTATTGTTTTTGGCCATCTTTGTCTTCAACTGACTTCCCCCCATATACTGTCTGAACTATATACCTTAGGAACTATGGTGATCTAATTTGTCATGATATTTAACAGGTCTGGCTCCCCCAGTATGGAAGATATTGAAGCTTTTTCTGTAACCTATAGAGCACGATTGGATGAAGCTGAGCTTAATAAATCAGTACCAGAGAATATAACCCTAGAGGTACTGGTTTTCTGTAATCACCCTTTTCTGTTTCTCTTTTTTCCATGTGGTAGTCACAGACATGCTTTTCTAAACTAGCAACTCTAGTAAAGATTACTGGCTATTGAAAACTAGAAGGAAATGAGTGAAGCGTTTGTCTCAGCTTGAGCTTTTAGATTTAAACCCACTTTATGATGGAGATGGTCATTTACCTTAATTTAAGAGCTGAATCAAGTTAAGTAGATCTGCCACTTATCTATCTTGAGAACGCTGTACTGCTGAAATTTGAATTCTGTATGCACCAGATTAATTTTAATTCTTTCTATATTGTTTATATATAAATCTTGTTTTCCCTCAGGTGTCATCTCCTGGTGTTGAAAGGGTAGTTCGGATTCCACAAGATCTTGAACGGTTCAAGGATCGACCAATGTATGTAAAATATTTCAGTGAGGTAGCTGAAACTGGTTCAACATCAGAAGGTGATGGTATTTTTAGGCTTGTATCTTTTGACATTGAGAAAAAATGCTGCACTTGGGGTTTAGCAGACGTGAGGATAAATAGAGAAAAAGCAGGGAAAGGAAGACCTCTTAGCAAAAAGCAAAGAGAGTGGCGTTTAGACACTACCTTCGATTCCTTGTGTTTGGTCCGGCTTCATTCTGAAATTTGAATATTAATTCTCAGAAGTAGCTAGTCGCATAGCTAGTAGTAAGGAAGATACATTCAATTGAGACAATAATTGAGGCTGTCTTGGAAAATAGCTTCTCTGTCACATGACCCTTTTCAAAATTTGAGCTGTAAAACTGTTATTTCTTGTTTTGGTTAGATGTAAAATTTTTGTTTCACTGTATATATTTTGTTACATTCTGTTTAATTGTTCTATGAATTCATTTATGATACATTTTAAACTTGGAAAAAAGGAAGTGGACCAAATAATGAAACTTGAAGGCGATGACAAGAAGATTGCAGTAGCTTCCTAGGTATTGTTTGGAAAGGCAATTGGCTATAAACTTGTACTGGAGATGGATTTAAGTCTTCCTGGTTTGGGATCCTTCACGTCCTTGCCTATTTCAAGAACAATAACAACAAGGAGCTTGGACTTTAATATGAAATGCGGTGGAAGTTATAGTCTCAGGTAACCAATAGCAGAAGTCATAAAATCTGGCTAGTTTTCTATCTGAATGGTTTTTAAATTTTGATATCCTTTAAGATTTAATTGTTCAATATGACTCAGATGCTGGACACAGCTGGCTTTTTGGAAAGAATGCAGATCCATTTAACGATGGCAGATGTAGTTTGGTAGTTTCAAATTGTGGCTCAAGACCTGCAATGACCCTTCATACTGGAGTTTTGGTTCCCCAAGTAAGATTTCTAATATCTCAAATATCTAATGGTCTGCACCTCATATGCTTGCTGACTTCCGGAGCATTGTCTTCTGATTTCAAGACGATTTCGGTATTTCCCCTTAACCTTTGATCTTTATTGAAAGTTTTTTTGGTTGGATGATGGTTTTTATCTTCTTTTTTCTTAATATTTACTTATTTCATGAGCTGATCCAATTATATTGCCCAATGTGTTATCATATTTAGGAAAAAAATGTTAAAGTCAAATCTCATTCTTTCTTACTAGTCTACCATCTTGAAATTTTCAACTTCTGGGAGCATATTAGTTAAAGTTTGTGACTCTTCTTCCCTAGTCTAGAACGAGACCTAATCTTATGACCTACAAGTTTGTTCTATTTTACAGTTTTTGCTTTGTCTTTGCTCCTCCTATGTTATAACGTTGATTTAACAACTGCAGGAAATTGTGAATGATAAGCACAAACGTCAAGTCCTACATCATTATTTGATCCTTCAGCATACTGCCCATTTTTCTTATTGTTTTGTGTTTTCTTGTCATTATTTTCTGGGCTTGAAAAGTTCTTTACTTTATTAAATTGTGCTCATGATATCAGTTTGACCATTCAGAAGAATTGGTGAGGGAAAATACCCTATAATCAACAGCATTGTTAGATGATTATCTATCTGGCCCTTTATACTGTTTCAAACAATCCTTTTACTCCTAGTTTTTCTTCATTTTAAAGGTTTCAAAGGTTCTTGTTTGAATAATCATTTCTTGGGAAGTTCAAATAAAAGAAAACTCTTCCGTAAATAAAGATCTATTCTTACTTCGTGTTCTTGGGGCCAAATACATAATTAGGTAACGTGAATGCTAGAAGTAGCAAAGATAGAAGATTCCTGACACTAAATGATGCAAAGAAGCTTGAGAAATAAAAAAAGGTGGTTGGGACCACAATTTTTATTCCCTTTCCTGTCTCATATTATCCCCAAACTCCACTTTATAGACACGCATTCTCTGCATCACTATTTCTTTCAAGAGGACAAACCGTTTTATTGTCTGCTTCTCCATCATGGACATGGAGACAAGATTCAGTTTGGTACTCAGCCTTCTTATTGACCCCATCCTAGAAGTTGCGCCCACCAGCACTTTATCTTTAGAACTTTCATAATTAGGCCATGCCCACTGTGAGAAATGACAATGGAAATGTAGGATGCCAGTTGCTAGAGAATGCCTGCTATATCACTTATCATGGAATGTGGTGCATGTTACATCAATATCAAGAACTTTAAGTCACAGGAACACTAAAACATGGATGGTGCACCATAACAGATATTCCATTTCTACCCATATCTTTGCAGTCCAATTGTCATGCATGAGATTTCCTATATAGTAGCCTAACTCTTAAAACTCTTTATCTTGTCTCATAATGTTTAAGAGTTGAGCTTGCTTAATTAAAACTCTTGCCTGCCTGGACTTCTTGCTTTTCTCATTTGAGATGAAACGTCACATACAAGTCGTGAATTTGAACCATATATTCTTAATTTATAGCATTTTTCATCTCATTACTGAGTCTTGTAAGCTTCCCTTTCTCATTTTTCATGCTTAGAATGGAAGTTTTGAATGTTCAAATATGTAGGAAGTGAATAGGTGGGACTCAGCAAAAAGTTGGATAAGGTTCCCCATATTTAAAGGTTGTTAAACAAACCAAGAACTTCCATAGGTTTATTAACCATTTGTTTTAATTTGGCTTTATTCATAGGATGCATTATGCATCTGTGAGTCTTGAAATTAACGTCTTGTTAAGGTTGTCTCATCTGTGAGAACTCATCTGCAATAAAGAGAATCTGCTTTATCTTTTTCTGCATATACAATTGAGTGTTTTTAGACTTTGAACATTGCAAAAATATCTTGAATCAAGCTGGCACAAAACGCCAACCACATCTTAGTGCAGGTGACAATACTACCTTCCTGTGATGGAGCCTGGAGAGCTTGGATGTTCCATTTTGGACAAGGCAAATGCAAACTCAGATGCATGCCTGGATCATCAATTTTACAGGCTATTAATTATTTCGGGCGGCTACACTATTGACCTGCATTCTTCTTTCTGCTTAACCATCCAATTAAGTAATTGTACAAATAAATCCAACCCTCGATGGCTTAATGGTCACCCCTTAAATGGGTGTGGTGGACATAATGACCTAAATTCAAATCTCAGGCTCTACTCTCCTTCTCTTATAAGTTCTCCCTTGTTCAAAAAAAAAAAAAAATGTAATTGCACAAATATTTCGTAGTTATGATTAACTCTTTTTTTTTTCTAAATAACATACATGATTTGATATATTTATTCATTTTATATTATGTTTATTTGCTTTTCTTTCCTTTTCATTTTTTTAATACATTAAAAAAATTTTTATATTATTTCTATTCATTTTATATTATATCTATTCATTTTCCTTTTCATGATTTTTTTTTTTTTTTGAGAAATCCTTTTCATGATTATTAGGTAATACTAACTCAAATAAACTTATGTCAGTTTTGCTTCCCTTTTCTTAATACCTCTCAAACTCAGTTTAAAGATTCAATTAAAAATTTTTAGGTTAGAATCTCACTGCTCAACCTTTTTTTTTTTTATTTTTTATGTTAGTTATATAATAGGAAACAACTATTTTCATCCTTTATTTTATCTCACTCATATGTCATGCGCCTTAAATTCAGAATCTCTTATTTTTAACAAAAAAAAAAATAATACTAAATTATTTAGGTAATTGGCCTCATTGCTCAATCTTTTTATCACTTGATTCACTCTTAAACTAAATGGATGTTTAAATTAATTGTTTAAATGTAATTGATAGTTAGTAATTTATATTTAATAAAGAAAAAATACATATTAATCTTAACTCTTAAAAAAATTAGAGTTTTAACTTTAAACTACATTGTTTTGTTTAATTAAAACTTAATTTAAAATTTAAAAATTTATCTTATTAAATATTAATATTTAAATTTAGAAACTCATCGAATTTTTAAATTTTGAATTAAGATTTCAATTTTTTAATATAAATTGGGATTTTAATTTTTTTTAAAAGTTAGAACTATTATGTATTAATCTCGTTTAATAATAATCTCATTTAATAATTAATAATAGATATTATTTACCATTAAAATATGATAATAGTATTTATTTATCTTATTTTCTAAAGATCATGAGAAAAATTATTTAAAAATTACGTAATTTCAAAACTATGTAGTTTCAATAAATTTTTATTGAAAAAAATTAAAATATTTTATTTTTAAAACATGAATTAGATTTTTTTATTATTTCTTATATTATTTTATTGAAACTATATAATTTTAAAATAATTTGTTTTCTTAATTTTTAAAAAGTAATGCATAAATATTAATTCCTTAAGATATATAATCTATTTAAATAAAATTAATAACTTATAACTATTAATAAAAATCTAAACCAAAATACCCTAAGTCACTCTCATTCTCTTGTCCAGAGTTGGTAGGAAATTATAATCTCTCATTCTCTTATCCAGAGTTGGTAGGAAATTATAATTTAGAGTAGTATTCATCCGTTTTATTTTTTAAAAATTAATAAAAAAATTATTTTAAAATTATGTCGTTTTAATAAATATATATTAAAAAATAAAATATTTTAATTTTAAAGCATAAATTGAGATTTTTTTTAAATTTTTTTATCTCTTAATTTTTTAAAAATAAGAGAAATAAACACTAAATTCATTATAATTAATTGGTTACTATTAAAAAAATTGGGTTGAAGACCATCTAGATTTTGGGATACTGCAAGTCTTTCTGCGCGGTCCCGTCGCGCGTGGTTGCCTATGGGACCTAGTTCAGACAAGGCGTGTGTTGATTTAATTTAAGAAAATAATTTTTATATAATTTTTTTATCTTATTTTTTTATATAATTTTTTATATAATTTTTTATATAATTTAATATATTATTAAAATAATTTATTTTTTTAATTTATACAAAACTCATAATATTAAATATATTTACTTATTTAATAATATATAAAAATTATAAAAACAATAATATAAAAAAATTATCACGTAGCATCACCCTTTAATTTAAATCAGTTACACTACACGTCGGAAAAGGCTAAAATTGAAAGATGCCAACGCATCTTAAGGGACGGCTTTTTCCGTCGTGATTTCCTAGGCTAAGCCAACATTTTGGCCCTGGGGTGTCTGACATTTTGTAAGCCGCAACAGGGAATTCCTGATTGGTCCGTGTGCCACACCTGCCACAACTGCCACTGCACGTGCCATCATTTATTTGGAGATTGACTTGTTGACTTTGGAGTATGCCCACATTGCTTATGCTTGATGAATCATGACTTAGACCAAAGCGAAAATTAGAAGGATAACTCTTATATCTTTTTTTTTTTTTTTCTACTTTAACCTTGTAAATAAGAAGTAAGTTTCTCTCATTCATTTATCTTTAAATTAAATTAGAAAAAATAAAATAATTGATTAAATTACTGTAAAGTTCTTCCATATTTGTATGATCAGTTTTGAATCTTCATTTCTTCTCTTCATCCTACCCATCATCTGGGTTTCAATTAGTTTGTTTGTACTATTAAAAAAAATATTTTGCAAATTATCTTTCAAAAAGAATTTAGGAAGAATTTTTTTTTAATCTTAGGAAAAATTATTTAAAAACTTATCTTTTGATTAGTATTTTAAAAAATTAATCATGTGATTAAAAATTTTATTTATATAAATTATTTATGTTATTTTTTAAATTATTTTTGTAAACCTAACAACTTTAATTATTATACAAAATTTAATATCAATAAATATATATTAAAAAATAGAGTTTTCTAATTAAAGGATTTGTTAGATTAATATAAAAATTAATATGTATAATCTATATTAAACAAAATTCTCAAATGGTTTATTTTTCAAAATTTTAATAAATAAGTAAATTTTTTAATAAATCTTCTAAAAGAATTTTGAAAGGAAGTGTACGTTACTCTAACTCTTAAAAAGTAATAATAATAAACTCTCAAATCAAATTATCCTTTGAACAGAACTTCTTGTCTGTAGTACTAATTATTTTAGTAATTATAAAGGGAAAACTATGATTTTTGCATGCTTCTTCCCTCCTCGACAAGATGTGGTAAAAGAAAAATTTCTTTTAGAAAGTGAGTAAAAAGTAACACTTTCAAAATGAAAAGCCTCATCCAGACTGCCTGCAGCTGTGTCTATGTAGCTTCCAAGGTCCTAATGTCTATATAAAGATGGCAAGTTCTGCATTGAGTCAGAATTTTTTGAGCATAACTTGGCTATCTTTTCGGCAAAGAAGCCCAGAATTCACGTGCCGGAAGTTATAAAATTTGTTTTGAAAAGGATATGTATTTGGTAGCAATATCATTATTGTTCTAGACTTATGGTTGTTTTATGACTCTTGACTTTCGGGTCCCTCTAGTCCTGTTTATATATATATGGTGCTATTCTCTGTTAATAGTTAAACTTAAAGGAGAGGTTTTTGAGTGGAGATCTTGAAATGGGTAGGTGGTGGTTTGGTGGGTTCTTGATTGCGGTGGCATTGGCAGTGGCGGCGGTGAATGGGTATCCAGAAGAGGATCTGGTGGTGAATTTGCCTGGGCAGCCTAAAGTTGGGTTCAGACAGTTTGCTGGGTATGTTGATGTGGATGAAAAGGCAGGAAGGAGCTTGTTTTACTACTTTGTTGAGGCTGAGAAGGACGCTGAAACCACGCCCCTCACTCTCTGGCTCAATGGAGGTTGGTTGATTTGCTTCTTCTGAGTAAAATCTGGGCATTATTTACTAAAAACTGGATTTAGTATCTGTTTCTGGTGTAAATTGTTATACTTTTTTGTGTGTTGTGCTGCATAGTTGATTTGTACTTTCTACTCTTTTTTTTTTTTTCTTCTTTTCTTTTCTTTTCACAAAATTCTAGTTCTAGAATTTTTCTGTTTGCTGTGAGGATCATTTTTTTCTCTCCAGTCTAATAGTTTGCTTTTGGCGTTTCCTTCTTACTGTAGTATTTGGTATTTTTGCTTTTAATTTTCAAGACTACTGTAGCATTCTCATTTCATTGTAAATAGAGATCTGTTCTGTTTGTGCACTTTTAGATGGGACTTTCAGATACCAAATTAATCCTCTGATCCTATTTTCAGGACCAGGTTGTTCTTCCATTGGTGGAGGTGCTTTTACAGAATTGGGTCCATTTTACCCTGCCGGTGATGGCAGGGCACTTCGAAGAAATTCAATGTCTTGGAATAGAGGTAAGGCTTATAATCTGCTATGGTAAATGAAATTAGTTTAAGTATTTGATTGTAAGATATTTCTGTTATGTTTCTTTTGTAGCATCGAATCTCCTCTTTGTTGAGTCCCCTGCTGGAGTAGGATGGTCATACTCAAATACAAGTTCAGATTATACACGCGGCGATGCTGCCACTGGTAAAGTAACTAGCCATACATCATTTTGTTTTTATATTAGATATTGGGTTAAAAATCTGGCTGCTAACTATGTTGATATCAAATGGAACTTGAATCTTTTAGCTTGTTGTTCACTTTGGATTGATCCCAATTCAATCTCTTGTTCTTGGCAGCCATGGATATGCAGATTTTCATGATGAAATGGTTTGAGAAGTTCCCGGAATTGAAGTCTAGAGACTTGTTTCTCACCGGAGAGAGTTATGCAGGTGTGCCAATAATAAAGTTTTAGTAGTAGTTTCATAATAGTTGCTGGGGCAAATATATGAAAGTGCAGGACCTTGTTCTCTTTTTAGATTTTATTTGGTGGGTTAGTAACATATATATCACCTATCTGACTGCTAGTGATGGTAATGAAACCATTATGAACTGCCAATTTCTTTCTTCTCTAATTGCTTCTTATGCATATTGTTACAGGACATTATGTACCACAGTTGGCTGATCTTCTACTGGACCATAATGCACGTTCAACTCGTTTTAAGTTCAACATTAAAGGCATTGCTGTAAGAAAACGTACACTTAATTTTTGTGTCTTTGTTTTTTTTTATCAAAGGCCAAATAATTATTAAGGAAACTATTAGTCTAGCCTTTGTTTTGCTTCATTCATCGTTTTATGGTTGTCTGTGCAATTTGTTTAATCCTTCTTCCTTGGCTTTTCTCCTATTAGATTGGGAACCCACTTCTCAAACTTGATCGGGATATTCCAGCAGCATATGAATTCTTCTGGTCGCATGGGATGATTTCGGATGAAATTGGCCTTACCATCATGAATGAGTGTGATTTTGATGATTACACCAATGCTAGTCCCCATAATGTATCCCATTCATGCAATGATGCCATAACTGAAGCAAATGGCATTGTTAGTAACTATATAAACCAATATGATGTTATACTTGATGTCTGTTATCCATCCATTGTAGAGCAAGAGCTGCGATTGCGGAAGATGGTAAGACACATTTCATTTCCTTTTACGAACTTGTTTTACCGGTCTCCTGCTTTTCTTTTGTGTCACCACTGTAAAGGAATTGAATATTTTCCTTATCTATGCAGGCCACTAAGATGAGCCTTGGGGTTGATGTGTGTATGACTCTTGAAAGGCGTTTCTACTTCAATCTCCCTGACGTTCAGAAGGCTCTTCATGCAAATCGGACAAACTTACCTTATAAGTGGTCTATGTGCAGCGGGTAAGTCAATTTTTTCTGTTCTTATTTTCAGTTTCAAACAGCCTACCCAGATAGGGAAGCCAATGCATCTTGTGACTTCAGATGTAACTCCTCGCAGTCTTGATCACTTTTAACGTCTCCCAATGAGTGGGGCTGGTAAATTGTACTGACCAAATTTTTGAACTAAAAATAATCTGCCTCTGCTTAAATTTCAGTCTTTTACTTTTCTAGGAGCATCCCTTGTTATGAATCAAGCAAGTTTTTAAGCCAGAAATGATTTAAAATCTATCTGGCAAAAAATTAATTATCAGCAGAAGTAGAATTATCCTGCACTTTAGCTGATCTTTGACATATTTTTGGTTCATTAATTCTTGATCAAGTCTGTTTGTAGTTCTCAATTTTCCTCCAAGTCATATACTTTATGTACAAGATTAGAAGGTGTGACTAGTCTTCTGGTTTTTGCATTTTGGCAGTGTTTTAAATTACAACGAAGCTGATGGAGATATCAACATCCTTCCCATTCTCAAAAAGATCATCCAACGTCGGGTTCCAGTTTGGGTGTTCAGGTGACATCTATACTATAGATTCTTTTATGGTGTTTCAGTTTGGTCATGGAGGTTGCTAATTCTATAAAATTATTGAAACTAATCATTGTAGTGGGGATCAAGATTCTGTCATTCCACTGCTCAGCTCCCGAACTCTTGTCCGTGAACTAGCTCATGAGTTGAAATTCAAGATAACAGTCCCATATGGAGCATGGTTTCACAAGGGACAGGTTCTTAAACACACCTATAATCTATAATCTTAGTAGTTCAGTTCTTCCTTTTAATGGTTGTGCCTTTATTAAAGTGTACCAAAGTACTTTCCTCTTTGATATTTCTCTTTAGGTGGCTGGCTGGGCAACCGAGTATGGAAATTTACTAACTTTTGCCACTGTAAGGGGTGCTGCTCATATGGTACCGTATGCACAGCCATCACGATCCCTGCACCTGTTCAGTTCATTTGTGCATGGCCGGAGACTTCCTAATAACACACGCCCTTCCATCGATGATTGAGAATTAGTCCATATTTCAGTATAGTATGAAAGATTTCTGTTTTTTTTTTTTTTTTTAATTTCGAAGATTTGCATTTCCAAAAGGCAATAAGAGACTAGCAAAATTATACTCAAGGGGAAAATAGGAGCATTGGGATTGTCTTGTTGCATAGGAAGGAGAATTTGTTGCAGGACTACTTCTCTTCATGTCATTGGTGGCAATTCTTTAGTGATTGAAATGGATTAGCTTGTATTTTTCTTCTCATCTTTGTTTTTGTTGAGGTGGAGATGGCTTGTAAAACAAAATGATTCTGGTATGAAATTCAGTATTAGACCGTATCAGTTGAAAATGATTCTAGTATGAAACTTCAGTATGAGACCATATTAGTTGAAGGCAATGAATTATCTAGTGTTAAATGAACAGAAAGCCCTTGAAAAATCCATTGTTCAAATCTTCTCATCCTGGAACATCAAGAGGTAAATTACATAACGCACATGCACACACACTTTATGATCTTAATTAGATATTACCGTTCCATCCCCTTAACTCAACGTGCAATTTCAACCCAATTAACTGGAGTTGTTGAATTCCAAGTTGGCAAGTGGCAAAATGTCTCTTTTTGTATTCATTTCTTTCTTTGTCAATGTATCATCATCCATCCAAGTTCCAGGTGATATCTTGCAGTATGAATTAAACTTCACAAGACGGAGAAACTGTTTGAGGAGTGTTTTCCAATGCAAACAAACCCAAAACTTTTCTAAACTTTGCAGGAGAGTCAAGTCACTAGAAGCTTGATGCAATTCTTAAAGCCAAAATTTTGGCTACAAATAGACATCCACTGCTGCTACTTCCTTGACAACAATTACAAGCATCTAATTATATCAAACCACAAATGAGTTCTTTTAATAACTTCCCATATCTCTCTCCTCCACCACCAACTCCACCCAGCTACCCAATTTTCCCCTCACCACCACCATATCAGCCATACGTTCCTCCACCACCACCATATCAGCCATATGTTCCACCACCGCCATATCAGCCACAGGTACCGCCACCTCCTCCTGTGCTGTCACCACCACCACCTCCTCCACCTAGCCACCCAATTTCACCACCACCACCACATCATCCACACTCTCCACCACCACATGTGCATCCGCCACCACCATTTCCTCCTCCACCCTCACCCGATAATCAACCTACGGTCATAATCATTGTGATTGTCTCATGCGGTGGCCTTTTCCTCCTTGCATTCCTCGCATTTGCGCTATGCTGTTTCATCAAGAAGAAGAAGAAAAAGAAGATTGAAGAAACAGACATTGTTCATGTAGATGAACATCTGAAAGTCAAGGAGGCAATAGTGCCTGGTGGCCACGGACAAGAATTGGTGGTGCTGGAGATTGAGGATGATGTTCATGTGGACGAAGAGATTATCAAGAAGGAGAAGGTTGGTCAAGGTTTGCATCATGCAAAATCTGCAGGGGAAAACAAAAGCATCATAGAGGCTGGAGCATCTTCTTCTGCCATCCTTGCATTCCTTGCATTTGTTCTATGTTGTTTCATCAAGAAGAAGAAGCAAAAGAAGGTTGAGGAAACAGACATTGTTCGTGTGCATGAACATCTGAAAGTCAAGGAGGCAATAGTGCCCGGCCCCCACGGACAAGAATTGGTGTTGCTGGAGATTGAGGATGATGTTCGTGTGGACGAGGAGATTATCAAGAAGGAGAAGACTGGTAAATTAAAGGTTTGCATCATGCAAAGTCTGCAGGGGAAAACCAAAGCATCATTGAGGCTGGAGCATCCTCTTCAGCCATGGACGACCATCATCCTCAACACAAATCCTAAGATTCCAAAATTAATAAATCCTGGTTAAGATTTTATGTTAAGATCCAATTAAATAATTAATGCTACTAGCACAAATTGGCCAGTAGCAGGATGCTGTTTTCAATGATTCTGGATTAATAAGGTAATTCCACCAGGATTTTAATTAATAAAGGTGGTGATTGGTGTCCAAATCCTTTCTATATGTCATTTGAAGCCATTCATGCCCTACTTGGTCACAAGTAATTGCTGACTCCAAGGGCCTCCTGAATGTTACTTTGTATATCATTGTGACATTCTCTCTGATAAATTGCCCATGTTTTTTTTCTTCCGCTGTGGGTTGTTGGATATTATTGTTTGGATTGGTTTGGGAATTTATTCCACCAAGAGGGCTTGTAGAGGCTTATGTGGTGCTGATGATCTAGAGATAAGTCTCTTTATGGGACAGGTTAGTGGCAAATGAAGATACCGAGTGGGGGTGTTTGAGTGAAGGTTGTTGGTGAAGAGACTAGCTCCTCAAGTTGTAACCTTAATAGTAGAGTTTATAAATTTTAGCTTTTAATTCTCAATTTCAATAGTTTGGCAACAAAAACAGAAAATTAATGTACAATGACAATGTTGTTAAGTAGGCGCCAAGATACATAGGAAAAAACGATACTAATAAAATAATACTAAAAAGAGAGAACAAAAAATAAGATATAAAAAATGGAAAAATGTCAATTAAGCCCTCAAACTTATGAGATTATCACTTTTAAGTCTCTAAACTAGGGTGCTAATATGTTACCATTTTAGTACAGGGGCTTGGAACTGATAGCTCTATAAGATTGAGGGCTTCAATTTACAATTTATCCAAAACTTTGGATAAAAATAGTAGTGTGTATATATTATATAGTACATATTATTGCCGATTTAAAAAAATTAGAGGTGCAAATTTAAATTATTTTATTTTATTAAAATTTAATTTAATTATATTAAAATATATTAAAAATATATAATTTAATATAATTAAATTAAATTCTAATTAAATAAAATAATTTTTTTTAAGATTAAAATTTTAATTTTTTTAAAAATTGAAACAGATATATATTATCTTATATATAATAAAAAGAAAATTATTTTTGAAATTAAATTGTTTTAATAAAATAATAGAAGATATTTTAAATTTTTAATAAAAATTTATTAAAATAATAAGTAAATACTATTTCTTATATTTATTTTATAATTCTAAAAGTGATTTTCTTTCTTAATTTTTTAAAGTTGCAGTGAGTAAACAGTAAACACCATTTCTCGTACATATTTTGGTAAATAAAAATAGTAGTATATATTCATCTTCGGAAAGTGTTTTCTTCAACCTTCACTTCCTAGGGTTCATACGGTTTATGAAATTTCGTTCTTGGTTGTGACGAATCGAAGAAGATTTTGATCAGGGCTTTGAAGGAATATCTCTTGAAAAGTTAATATCTTCTTTCAATTTCAATCCAATCGCAGGCAGACATGGCTGATGATATGCCCGCAGACCCCCTTCATGAAATTCTGACTCTGCTTCCAGTAAAATCCTTGATGCGATTCCAGTGCGTCTGCAATCATGGAAGCTTCGTATCAAAAACCAAAATTCGTAGCCGGCCATCTCTCGTTCGCAGTCAGTGACAAATCCCAAAACACCACGTTGTTCTATCGGTTTTAAACCTCACCAAGAAAGATAACGTCAATCACGTCTTGTCTTGGCTCTCATATGATGACGAAGCTGGTATGTATAATTAGATGTTAATCTAAAAGGGTATTGTTTCTCCACTCATTGGAGCTTTAGATCACTGTCATGGAAGAATTTGCTTAGCTATCGATAAAGATGTTGTTTTAATGAACCCCAGTATCAGGTAATCAAGAACACTTCCTGAGACCTGCATCTGCATTCGAAGCTCAGACAAGTACCCTAAACCGCATTATTCTAAAAACAGTGTCGGATTTGGTTACGATCCCAAAATCAGAGATTACAAAGTTATAAGAACATGGAGAAGTCCTACATATGACCATGTCAGAATTGAGGTTTATACCATAAGTACCAACACCTGGAGAGAAATTGACACCATTGATGAGTATTTTGCTAAGCACTTCTTCTGGGGACTTGACGTGGAGAGATACTTGAATGGTTACTTTTATTGGTTAGGAGGGGAAAAATACAAGGACAACGGGAACAACATGAAGTATGTTATTTCATCATTTAATATAAGCAATGAGATCTTTCAAAAGATATCAACGCCGGATGATTTCCTCCCTCACCGTAGTTATTATAATAATCTCTTCTCTGACTGTCATCATGATAATGATCTCCTCATTCTAAAAAGGTCCTTTGCCCTTGTAGAGTATCATGAATATCCTAATGAAAATTTTTAAATGATATGGGTGATGAATGGACATGGAGATGAGAAGGTATTTTGGACTCAAGCATCAACCATATGGCTATTCCCAAATGTCAGAATGACGCCGCGTTGCTGTTTTGGAAGGATGATGAGATTCTTGTGAGATGCTACAAGGGAAACGCGTACGCAGTGGCATCATACAACATTGGGACACAACAGCTGGATTGATGATATTCCTAATTTTGCAGAGTCTTCAAATTCAGCAGATGTGTGTTATTATGTCGGTGTTGCACAAATATATGTATGCAGCCTGGTCTCATGTTGGGGAAATAATAGTTAGCTCTAGAATTGGGAAGCTTTATTTATTTATTTTGGTAAACCATGGAGACTTTATTTTAATAAATAAAGGTACAGATGTTTGCATTTACTGAAAAATGCATTATATTTTTCAATCTTTTATGTTGTTGTTATCTTGATTTATAATATTATTAATATTTTTTTTTTATAAATCTCTTATTTTACATTTTAAATTGTAAAATAAAAATGATTAGATAATTAAAAAAAACCTTCAATATCAAAAAACCCACTCCCATCCAATGATAATACTTACATAATACAGTACAATCTAAATTCTACAATAGGATAATGATATATTTACATTCTAAACCCACGCCACACCACTAGTGGTACACCTAGGGATGGCAATTTGCCCCGAT